TAAATAAGTGGTTCCTTCTGTTGTGGTCTGAGAGGTTAGACCCCTCAAGGACTGGCGTACAGGACGGGGTTGTCTGGAATGAATTCACTGAGTCAAGTATTCTTAAGTCAATGTGGCAAAGATGTATTGTTACACTATACAGTGGGCAAGGATTCTCAAGGAATGAACCTGCCATGTTTGGCAGAGCTCCTTAGGAAACTTGCAACCTAACAGGAATGATGCTAAAACTCATATAGGAAAAGTAGTGAATTATGTGGCAAGTATGCTAATTAGGTGGTAATATGCAACCTTGGGCACGGGAGTCATTCACTACTGGAAATGGGGAGGGGGGGAAGAGAGGGTTCCTAAAGGGTATATTTTTGGTCTGTTATGTCTGTAACAAGATAGTTTCAGGAACTGACATCTATAGCTTGACCTTTGGATTGTATATGGTAACTGTGGGCATCAATACTTGACAGTTCTGCTGGTACAAGATAGCCCTGTTCATACAAGGGAAATTCTACAGAGGTCAGCTTGTTCTTGTAACAGGGAGAGATAGTTTGCCTCACTGGGCCCAACTCATGAGCTACTGCCAGAGATAGGGTCCTTGTGCTGGAGGGAAACTGCCAGGGATGATGTTTCTGAGGCCAAGGAGAAACTGGGGTCCAAGCACAGGCACCCAAGCACCCCATCACTTCCACCCTCACAGCTCATAGTAGTCCCCATTACCTTGCATTTATCTTGTATACGTTTGGCATATGCTCCTTTTTGTATAGGTTGTTCCCTCAATTCTTTCCCGCCCCTGACCTCTCTCTCTCTCACCTCCCCATATAAGATTGAGAGACTGTACTAGGAAGATACAATGTATACACAGAAAAGTAAATAGATAGAAAATAAATACAAAGTAATTTCCAGAGAACATTAGCTACTGTGGGAATTTAGAAAAGCTTTTTTTTTTTTTTAGGAGATGGCATTTGAGATGATTTTAGAAGGGGTCTAGAGGTTCCAACTGGAGCTGAGAAGGAAAGGCCTTCCAGGCATGGGATACAGAATATCATGTATAGGGAATAAGTAGATGATCTGGACTGTAACACAAAATTTGAACAATATATAATATGCCTATAGGAGCTTGAGGCAGATTGTGGGAGGGCTCTAAATGTAATATAGAGGAGTTTGTATTTTATACTAGAGGCAATAAGAAACCACTGAAGCTTCTTTAATAGGGAAGTGATATGATCAAACCTATGCTTTAGGAATATCAATATGGCACTTATGTAGAGGGCACATTAGAGAGGGGAGAGGCTAGATGAAAAATGACTAGTATTGCAACAGTCTAGTCAATAACTCATGGGGGCCAAAACTAGAATGGTTGTGATATAGGTGGAGGGAAAAGAACAGATGTGAAAGATGCTGTGGAGGCAGAATGGACAGACAAGGTGACTGATCTGATACAGCACGGTTAGTGCCACTCCTAAGTTCTAGAACTTGAGCGACTAGACTAATGGTAGTGTTCTAAACAGGAAAAAAGGGGAGTTAGAAGGGAGGGTTTTAAGGGCAAAGATAATGAGTTCAGTTTTGGACATGCTGCTTTGAGCTGCCTATAGGACAGGTGGAGATATCTAATAGGCACCTGGTGATGCTGGACTGGCATTCAGAAAAGATATGAAAGCTGGATATGTAAATTTAGAAGTCATCCTCATAGAAGTGATGATTGAACTCAGGAGAAGTAACCAGATCAACTACAGAAAGAATTTATAGAAGAGAATGAAATCCAGGACATCTCCTGGAGTACCCCTATGAATAGAGAGTGAGATGGCAATCCAGGGAAACTGAGAAGCATCAATCAGAGAGATAGGAGAAAAATGACAGAGTAGTATCACAAAAACCCAGGGAGGAGAGAATATCCAGAAGAAGGGAATAGTCAACATTGACAAACACCAAAGAGAGGTCAAGAAGGATGAAGACTGAATAAAGCCATTAGATTTGCCTATAAAGAAGTCTGACCTCAGAAAGACTAGTTTTAGTCAAATGGTAGTGATGCCTTCCCTCAACTCCTTTGTATTTAACTCCATGTATTTATTTTGTATAGATTTATTCTATATATACTTATATATGTATATCTCCCTGATAGAAAACTCCTTATAAGCTTGAAAGGATTGTTTTATTCTTTGTATTTGTTATATCCAGTGCTTAGCACAATACTTGATATATAGAGGTGCTTAATAAATGTTTCTTCATTGACTGTTAGAAGCAAACTAGCAAAGGGTGAAGAAGTGAGTTGGAGATGAAAAACTATAACCAATGATGGCGCATAACTTTCTCTAGAAGTTCAATAAAAGGACGAAAGAAATAAGATGAAAGCTTGAGGAGATGGTAAGATCAAGGGAAGGTTTCTAAGGACTGAGGTATCTGAGCACATTTGTAGGTAGTAAAGGAGCCAGTGAATAAACAGATTGAAAATTAGGGAGAGAGATGGGATGATTATGGGGGGTAAGCCTCCAAAAGAGATAGGAGGAAATAGAATTGAGGGCAAAAGTACAGAAGTTTATATTACTCTACTCAATAAACTCCCAAGCTCCTCATTGTTGCTTCTAAAGTAAAATATAAACTCCTGTTTATCTTTAAAAGCCCTTCACACCCTGCCTCAAATACATCTTTCCAGTCCCATTATACATTACTCCCCTTTCCACATTCTATGGTCCCACCAAACTGACCTTCTTCCTTTTCTTCAGTATTGCACTCTATTTTCCATCTCCATCCCAGTGTCTTTACACTAGCTGTGTTTTGTGCATATAATGCACTCCCTTGTCCCTTCTGCCTCATAGTTATCCCTCTCTTCCTTCAAGATGCAGATGAACTCTGCTACACAAGGCTTTTCCTGATCTACCAACTGCTATTATATAATACAGGATAGTATACATATATATGTATGTATGTATGTATATAACATATATAGTGGTGAGGTAAGGACTGTGGTAAATATGTGTGTCCATGTGTACATGTTGTTTATTACGATAGAATGTAGGTCCTTTGAAATTAGAGAGTTTCATTTTTAAAGTCTTTATCCCCAATGCCTATGACAGTATCTGGCACATAGTAAGCACTTAATGAATGTTTAATTATTGATTGAATAGGGGATGATATTGAGGTGATCTGAAGAGTAGTACTGGGGAGGAACTCAAGAAGGATAGCTTCACTCCTCTCTGTCAAGTATGAAGTGAATTCCTCTGCTGAGGGGGAAGTGGGGAAAGGGTAGTCTGCAGAAAGTGGAGGTTTGAAACAGATGCTATGATAAATGAAACAGAGATTCAGTCCGAGAAGAGTAAAAAGACTGGTATAACATGGCAGCAGCCTTATTCAGGTTACATAATATAAATCTGTAGTGGTCCCAGATAGCAAGATTGCTCCACCGTGTTTAAAAAGCAAAATCCGAGTGGAAGCAGAGAAAAAAGGTTGGTGAGAATAATGAAAGGTTGGGGTTTGGAAAGGAATGAGCAAACAGGAGGAGAGCAAGAGGCTCGAATATAGAGGGCATTATTAAGTTGAATTTCTTAAATATTAGGGCCCAGAGGAAAGCAGGACCCAGGTGGCAAGACTTTGGTGAAAATGAAGACTAGCTTTGGGAAGGATAAGGTACAGGAAGAGCTGAAAGGATGGAATGTTATAGTCGGATGATAGAACTTCAAAGGTAGGGATTGTCGAAGTGGAACACTCATGAGTAATGATAAAATTACAAATATAATTAACCAACCCTACGTGTGGCTGAAAGTTCTTAAGCGAAGCAAAGGTGCAGCTCATGGGAGCTGAGGTTGATGAACCAAGGGTATTTGAAAAGATTAGAGGTGTGCAACAAGCAAATTTAAATCCCCAAATATAAGTGCAGATTTTGTAGCATAGAGTCCAGGTTGTGAAAGGCGAAAGAAC